GGGGCCCGGCGCCCGCAGCCCGCCACGCCTGGAGAGGGATGCGTGAGTTTCGCCCCGGCTCGAGGGCAGGATGTGGGAGCAGGACAAAGACTGGGCGGCGGGGGAGGAGTTGGGAACGGCGAGCCGGTGGCCGCAGCCTGAGCCCCAGCCCGGGGCCAGCTAGCGGAGACGGCAACTTTCTCTGCAACTTTTTGTAAAGGGGCAGAGAAAAATCCCACAAGTTGGTGCACAGCTCCAAGTCGCCCCGGGTGCCGCGAGCAGAGAGGAGGGTCACCGCCACCTGGCTGGGACTGGGGGCGAGCGCCAGCGCCGCAGAACGGGGCGAGAGGGTGGTCCGGCCCAGGCAAGCGGGAATGGCGATGCGGGAGGTCGGGCGCGGCGCGCCCGCTGAAGTTGCGCTTGGTCACGCAGGGTGCGCCCTGGGAGCCCGGTAGCCTCGGATCGCTGCGCCGCAGACGCGATGATGGATGAGCCCTGGTGGGATGGGCGCGTCGCCTCGGACGTCCACTGCACCCTGCGCGAGAAGGTCTGTAACCCCAGCCCCTGACCCGTTTAGGACTGGAAATTTCAAGTCCTTTTCACCCTCAAATTCTTGTCCTCGGGACGTCCCGCGTGGGAACTCGGGACTTGGTACCTTGCGTTGTTCCTGCCCTTACCCTCTCCAAACGTCGGGTGGAGATTGGAGATTAGGAGCCGGGCGCTCCCGGGCCACTACACAGAGATAGCACCGTGCTGCTAAGTCAGTATTTCCCGTAGTATTGCCAGCCGAGATTATTTAAGTGGTACATGAGCGGACTTTAAAGAGGTATATTGTATATATTTTTAAAAATGGATGTAAAAATAATTGCACATAGTTTTAACGTGCAGGTAAAACTATCTAGCGTTCTGCACAGGTAAGTGGCTCTGATTTTCCATTTATTATAAGCTTGTTGCAGTTCCTTTTAAAATAAACTTACCTAAGTAAAAGTAATGATAGGAGGTAAAGAGGTATTAGGTAAGTGAAGAGGGTTATGCCCTCTTCTGCCCCCGCCCCCAAAATAGGTTAATTGTGGAGCTGAATAAAATTTAAGAAATACCGGTCTAAATGATTGACTGCAAAGCTAGGAGGCTATAAGGGAACATAAACAGACCCTTTTCCCTTTGCCGCTGGTGGCAGAAGGAGGGGGCAGCTGTAATGTGATCCCAGCCCTCCCCTCACCTCCAGGGGAGGGTGCTGATGGGTGCTAGGAAGGTGGAAAAGTCCCCTGGGCTGGGGGACTGACCTGTGTGTCTTGCTGGCTGCCTCTGGGCTAAGACTGATTAGGGGGGACTGTTCGGCAGAACAGGTGTCAGTTGGTTTTCTAGGACAGCGCTGACAAAATCCCACAAACCTGGGGATGTGAAACAACACAAATTATGCTCACCCACTTCTGGAAGCTGGAGCTTGAAGTCTGAGGAGTCAGTGGCTTGCTGCCCACAGTGGCTTTCAAGGGGAATCCTCCCTTGCCTCTTCCCCATGGCATGGCTGGTACTTCTCAGCTGGTGGCTGCACCATGCCAGGCTATGACTCTGTTGTCACCTGACCTTCTCTCCTACTATGTCTGTCTGTGTTCTCCCAAGGACAAAGTCACTGCAATAGGCCTCCTTTAGTGCAGGATGACCTCATCTTAATTTAACTGATTACATCTAAAATGACTTTTCAAAAATAAGGTCACGTTCTGAGGTTCCTCTTGGACATGAACTGGGGAGGGACACTGTTCAGCCTATCACAGCGGGATAGAAGTCTCAGTACGGGGGTTACCTGGGTCCCTACGCAACAGGCCCTGCATTTACCCCAGGTGGGCGTGGACCTGTGCTTCAGAAGTCACCAGTTATTTAGGGGTTTTTCCTCGTGGGTGGGTGGCAGTCTTCCAGCCAAAGGAAGGCTTGTGTTCTTTTTTCCTGCACTGCTGGTCTAGCTCTGTCTTACCTTCTGCCTCCCCAGAGCATGATGGCCACAGTGCCTCATGCCCTCAGCTTCTGGAGAACCCCGGGCTTTGATGGGTCAGTTATAGACCTGGACTGTAGTGTGGCCGGCAAGTAGCACAGCCCTGGTCCTTTTCTGGAGTTGGTAGCTAAGTGGCACTGGTGAGGCTGCCATGGAAACCGGCCAGCCTTGTGTTTCGTTGGCTCCTGTGGTTGGCAGTTGCTCATGACTTGGAGGAATGCCCTTCACCCCATTTGTCCCTTTCTAGCAGGTATATAATAAGCTCAGTCTGTTCTATTATCCTACAAGCTGCGACCTTCTGTGTGTGAGCATGAGTGACCTGAAGTCTCCTCCGTCCCCTCAGAGCAGAAACTCAGCAGCTCCCGTTCTTTGTGCTCCGCCATGCCACAGTAGTTAGTACCACTGTAGTTCACCACTTGACTGCCCACGAGAGGGAGGGCAGGTTTGTCCAGGATTTACAGGTTAGAAATAAAGAGCTCACCTGACTTGGGGCTGGTCTTAGTTGGACAAACGTATTAGAGCTGCTTAGGAGCGCAACGTCTCACCTCCCCAGTGTATATTTATTTCTGCTCCTTATTCAAGGAAGCAGATGCTTCTCAAGGAAATTTGGCTTATTGGAGAGTTTGCACAGAGGAGGAGGGCCCAGTTTCCTTGCGTGTCTCACCTTTCTTGAGGCATGAGGACGGGCTGTTTTTTTCTTACAGAGAGCAATTTCTTATTAATCATTTACTCTAACAGTACATTTCTGACACTAGCACAATTTTACAAGTGTCCCACCTGCAGTCAGTACTCACTGTTTTAGGATGTTGCTGGCTGAATACAAAGCCCATTTCTGTACATGCTGTTGAATTGTCATCGAACCACAAGCGGATCTCCTCACTCAGCTGGTGTAGAAAATAAGGCTGGGGTTGTGGAGGTGGTGGCAATGCACCTTGAGAGAAGTGAGATTCCAGAGGAGCACGGTGCTAATGACATCGAAAAGGTAACACTTGGAAACCAGCCTTGGTGTGGATGTTAGCTAGCAATGGCCGTGAAACTCTAAGCTGCTTATTTCATCTCTACCCCGGCACTGGTCCTCCATTCCCCCCACAACAACCAGAACTTAAGTTGTGTAACTTCCCTGCATAGACTTCTAAAGTCCCCCCTTGCATGACAGTAACATTCTCAGGCCTTACTCTTACCTGTGATACATGATAACTGGACCCTGACCCGCTCGCCTTGCCCCCTGTCCTCTCTGCTCCTCACAGCTTCCACCCCCTTGCACCGCTCTACCTTGACTAAGTCTAAAGTCCATTCCAGTCTTGGAGCTGTTGCACTGACTGTCCCTCTCTCGATAGACCCTATTTTTCAAAAGTTTCAGCTTTGGCCCTCCCTGGTCGGGCAACAGGTTAAAGCGCAGCACTATGAGGCTGTCTGCAGCCACTGCAACATGAGTTCGATCCCTGGCCAGGGAGCTGACCCACAGGGCACAGCAGACCTTCATCAGTGTGTTTCAGTGTGTTTCAGTCGACCTGCCTGTTCTGCTCCCCACTCTGTGTCTGGTGAATCCTCTCATCTCCCACACCTCTGACCTACACCCCACTTCTTGCGTGCATAAATAAATAAATCTTTTTAAAAAATGTTTCACTTTTATGAAAGACCTAAACTGGTAGCTTTTCTCACTAGCCAAAGACATCCGAAGATTTTCACTTTTATGACAAAAGGTGAAGAGTGGCCCCGACGTTTGGCTTTGGTTTTGCGGCCGCCTTCTAGAGCAGTGAGAGTTGCAGGCCCTTGCTGGAACTGCTTCACACAGGCTGGGCATTTCCATAGCACAGCTTCTGTGAGATGTGCTTGTGGTTTTAGGTTTTTTGTGTTATTTGTGATGACTTGACAAATTATTTTCGAGGGGTTGGAATACATAAGGATGTTTCCGTAGAAATCAGCTCTTCACTCCATTTCAGCTTCTAAAAGTTTTCATAGGAATATCCTACTTTTGGCTATTAGGTGAAACCAGTATCTGGAATCTTTTTCTGTTATGCTTCCTCTGTGTCACTGTCAAATCAACCTGTTTTTTTTTTTTTTTTAATAGTACTTAACCAGTGTCTTTTTTTTTTTTTTGACTGTATGCTATTTTTTGCCATCTTTTATTTATTTGTAGTTCTATTATTTTTATATATACAGCACTGTATATGATTTAGAGATATAGGTTTGCATCTCTTCAGATGTATACATGCTACCACCCCACCCACCACCAAAGCCCCAATAATTCTCAACCATAATTGTTTGGGTCCCTCTCCCCTCTACCAACCCCCATTCTCCTGCTCTCATAGGTCAGGTCTATAGGTTCAGTTTTGCCTGTTCCTTTGTTGCTTTATACTCCAAATATGAGTGAAATCATGTAGTATCTGTCCCTTTCCTCCTGACTTATTTTGTTCAACATCATCCTCTTCAGCTCTACCCACATTGTCATAAATACAAGATTTCATCTTGTTTAATAGTTGAGGGAGAAATTATTTTGCTTACTGTCTCTTTCCCACACTAGAAATCATCCCACAACAGTGGATCCATCTGTCTTGTCAGGTGCCAAGCCCCGGTGTCTAGGACACAGCCTCCTGATCTGAGTGAAGTGAAGAAGAAAACGACTCTTCTTTCATTTCCCTGACTAACCTGGGAAAATGGTTATTGGGACGTTAGCGGGATGTTAGGAGTCAGTGAGCGAAGCTGGAACATGAGACTCACATGAGGCATGGGAGGTACCGGACAGGCGTCCTGCTGTCCCCCTCCACCCCTGCTGTGTGTGAGTCATAATGCACGGTCAGCATAGGGCCTGGAGTCGGTGACCACCTCTGGGGCTCCCAGGCATGACATTCCCTCATAGGGAATGCATGATCACACCATGGGCCATGGGGTGGTGATCGGGCCAGGGCCGGTGAGGTAGCACTTTACCAAAAGCCATGTGTACATATGTATTGAAGGCTGGGGCTCTGAAGCTCGACCCCAGCAGCAAGATCCCTAAGAAGCTTGGGTGAAGCACTCATGGGGAGGGGAGAACAGCCCTTCTCCTCCCCAAATCACTCTGGGGAATGTCCTGCTTGGCCCTCTCCGGGCCACTTTGCCTCATGCTCAGCCTGGAATTGCTCCTTTGGTCATTCTCCCAGGCCCTGCTTCTTCTTCAGGCAGACCTGGAGCCCCCGTTCTTGGGGCAGGGGTGCCAGTGGTACAGGGCAGTCAGGGTTCTTATCATGTGCGCTCTTGACTTTTCTTCACTGAACTCAGGGAGGGGCACGTCATCACCACACCGGGATCTCGGGGAGACTGTTGTTCCGCGAGTATTCAGACTCAAATAAGAATCACACTAATTTTTTTTTCCTTTTCCTGAAAAATTCCTCTCCCTATATTTAAAATTAATTGGGTTGGTTTGGATCCAACCATAGGCTGAGGGCCATATCCTTGTCTTTTAAGCTTCTCTCCCTTTTGCCATGTATCTTGACCCCAACCCCATGCAAACTGTCCTTGTCACCCTGTGTAATGACACGTCCTACCCACTAGACTCTGTGTTTATTATTTTATTTAAAGAT